TCACGGAGGCGCTCATTACCCCGGTTGGGACGAGTAGTGAGTGAGGCTCGCTTTCGGCCTCTTTATTCCACCCTTTATCTTCCTTCGAGGGTACCTGATAAGGCGCCGGCTCCATCATTCTATCTAGTACTGGATTGGCCAAGCCCTCAGGAAGGGGGGCCGAACACCTGATCATCTTCGCCTTTGTTATCCAGTCCTGGTCAAAGAGCAACTTTTCAGAATGATGTTATGATAAATAAGTGAAACAGCATGTTCGGCCATGGAATTACTTACTTGGGTATCCGGGCGATTACAGCTCAGACCCGCATCCTCGGTGGTGTCCAGACACTTTATTTATGGTCCGAAGAACAACTTGTACATCTCCTCAAGCGTCATGCCAAGGAAGTGCTGAATGATTCGCGGTCCCTCCGGGTTGAACTCCCACAAACGGAGAGGTCTACGTTTGCAAGGCGGGATCCTGGCGAACTAGCATGACCTGCATCACCGTGACCAGGTTGACGTCTCTCTCAATGAGATCTCGGATGCGGCTCTGCAATATCGGCACATCCTTTACTGGACCCCAGTTTAGCCCCTCACTGATCCATGACGTCAGTTGTGGTGGGGGCCCGAGCGAAAGACAGGGACGGCTGCCCACTTGGCACTTCGGGGAGCTGTGATATAAAACCACTCCCGCTGCCACAAACTGGACACCTCTGGAAAGGAACCCTCTGGCCATGGAGCATCAGCGCTTTTGCTTATTACGGCACCTCCACACTCTGCCTGCCGCCCCTCGATCATCTTCGGCTTCACATTGAAGGTCTTGAGCCACAGGCCGAAGTGAGGGGTAATGCGGAGGAAGGCCTCACATATGACGATGAACGACGAGATGTGAAGGAGGGAATCCGGGGCCAGATCATGGAAATCCAGCCCGTAATAGAACATGAGTCCCCTAACAAAGGGATCCAGAGCGAGGCCTAGTCCTCGGAGGAAGTGAGAGACGAACACAACACTCTCGTTGGGTTCGGGAGTGGGGATGACCTGCCCTCGGGCAGGCAGCCTGTGCGAAATTTTGGCGGTCAGATATCTGGCCTCTCTCAGCTTCTTGATGTCCTCCTCCGTGACAGAGGAAGGCATCCACCGACCTTGGAGGTTGGAACTGGACATGGTTGAAGGTCCAAAGCACCACACTTGAGCCTGGGGTGTTGGAACTCGAGGTGGGGGAAGGATTCGATTGAGCGCGAGAGGAAAAAGGGATGGGTCTTGGCCTCTTTATAAAGAAGTTGTATAGCAAGCGTCCTCCTCGCGTCCGTTTTGGACTCGCCTAAAATCGAGGAGTCATGCCAACGGGCACGAGTGGGTTACCCACGTCCTTATTGATGAGAATCCCGTAATAAGATGGACACGATCTCTGCTTCGACAAGACGTGTCAAGAAAACTGCCTCGTGATATGTGCGGTGCTGGTTGAGAAAAATGGTTCGAATAATGACCGAGCCATGACGTGACGTCGTGCTGTCAAAACGCGTCAGCAGATTAGATTTGTGGAAATATTATTCTCTCTACGACGGTATGTGGAAATTATTTTGCAGGGCCGGACACTATCCTTGTGTTCAAAATCTTCCATGGAAGTATTCGGAGGAGGAACCCGCCTTGCAATGCCGAAGACAAAACTGCGCACCGGACTCATCGCCATTGAAGCCTAGTTCAGGGGCTACTGAGGGAGTCCTAGATTAGGGGGTCTCCAGACAGCCGGACTATATCCTTTGGCCGGACTGTTGGACTATGAAGATACAAGATTGAAGACTTCGTCCCGTGTCCGGATGGGACTCTCCTTGGCATGGAAGGCAAGCTAGGTAATACAGATATGTAGATCTCCTCCCTTGTAACCGACTCTGTGTAACCCTAGCCCCCTCCGGTGTCTATATAAACCGGAGGGTTTAGTCCGTAGGACAACATACAATCATACCATAGGCTAGTTTCTAGGGTTTAGCCTCTATGATCTCGTGGTAGATCAACTCTTGTAATAATCATATCATCAAGAACAATCAAGCAGGACGTAGGGTATTACCTCCTTTAAGAGGTCCCAAACCTGGGTAAACATCGTGTCCCCTGCCTCCTATTACCATCCGCCTTAGACGCACAGTTCGGGACCCCCTACCCGAGATCCGCCGGTTTTGACACCGACACGCACCCCAGAGTTCGAACCTCAAGGGTTTTGCCGGAACCCGAAATCCGACACCGATCGACCTAGATGACCAAGATTTGGTCTTCCAGGAAGAGGAGATTTGGAAAGTGGTGAGGGACATGCCCTCAGATCACGCGCTAGGGCCAAATGGGTTCGTTGGTGTCTTCTTTCAGCGTGCTTGGGTGATTATGAAAGGTGACGTGATGGCAGCGTCGAACAAGTTGTCCCTCAACAATGGGAGAGGGTTTGGAAGGTTGAATCAGCTCTGATCACCTTGATCCCCAAAAAGCCGGAGGCATGCCATATCAACGACTTCAGGCCAATCTGCCTGGTCCATAGCATTCCAAAGTTAGCGTCTAAACTTCTGGCTTACAGGCTTTTCCCGCGCATGGGAGAGCTGGTACATGCAAACCAATCGGCGTTTATTAGGGGTCGGAATATCCATGACAACTTCTTGCTAGTTAGGAAACTTGCAAGGAAACTTCACAAAAGGAAGACGAAGAGTGTGATGCTAAAGCTGGATATCTCGCGTGCCTTCGACTCATTGTCCTGGCCAATCTTATTCGAAGTGCTGCGAGCCAAGGGCTTCTCGAGCACTTGGAGATCATGGATTGCTACGCTGCTCAGGACAACAAGTTCAAAATTGGTAGTCAATGGATGTGTTGGCAGGAAGTTTATGCATGCATGGGGACTGAGGCATGGGGACTCCATCTCGCCCTTGCTCTTTGTCATTGCGATGGACGTCCTCACTGCTATGATTTTGAAGGCACAGGAGATGAACGCAATCAGCAATATCCCCGGCTGCGCTCCGATACAGAGGCTCTCTCTATATGTTGATGATGTAGTGATGTTCATAAGGCCGAGCATATCAGATATGTGGTTTGTTCAGGAGGCTCTGAGATTATTCGGTGAGGCATCGGGTCTCAAGGTTAACTTCACCAAATCCTCAGCTATTATGATCAGATCGGAGGAGGCTGAGGAGGAGCTGGTGCGGCAGTCCTTGCCATGGAAGCTCGAGACTTTCCCCACCAGATACCTAGGGCTGCATTTGGGGATCAAACAACTCACAGCGATCAGAATGGCAGCCTATTGTGGATAACGTGCTTAAGATGATGCCAGGATGGCAGAGAGGCCTCGTCACAAGGCCCGGACGCCTCATTCTGGTGAACCAGGTTGTGCGGGCCAGACCCACTCACCACCTGATCATGGCGGAAGCGCCGAAGTGGGCGCTGGAAAGAGTGGATAAAGTATGACATGCATTCTTCTGAGCAGGTTTCGAAGAGATTCAGGGCGGCAAGTGTGCGGTAGCGCGGCGTCGGGTTTGCCGGCCAAAACAACTGGGAGGTCCCGGGGTGGTGGATCTTTACAAACAAGGGATAGTGCTCAGGTTAAGGTGGGAGTGGTTGAAGCGTACGGATAGCTCGCGTCCCTGGCAAGGGCTCAACTATTGCACACACAAGCAAGTGATGATGGCCTTTGATAGCTTGGTTAAATGGGAAGTCGGGGAAGGATCTAGGGTGCTGTTCTAGAGAGATCGTTGGATCAACTGCGCTTGCGTGAAGGAGATCGCCCCGCTACTTGTCAAACAAAGTGCGGCAGCAGGTGGTTAACAGGAGGAAAGTGAAGGAGGCCATGTACCTTCATGCATGGACACAAGATATCATGGGGGAGATGAATACAGAGGAGCTCCTGCAGTTCATCCGGCTGTGGGAAGTGCTGGTACATATGGAGCTTGCCCCTGACACAGAGGACACTCCGAATCTGGCAATGGGATGCAAGCGGCAAGTACTCGGCAAAATTTGCGTACAAAATGATGTGTGAAGGGGGAGTAAGATTCCAATGTGCCTCGGCTGTCTGGCGTAGTTGGGCAACGCTGACCTGCAAACTTTTCATGTGGCTTGCCCTTCAGTACAGAGTTTGGACATCGGATCACCGACAGAGACATGGATTGCAAGATCAAAGCTCGGCTTGTTTCCTTTGCAACCAGGAGGAGGACAAGGTGAATCATATACTCTTGCAATGCGCTTATGCGAGACAAGTGTGGTTTCTGTGCTTCAGGAAGTTTGGTATCGAAGTAGCTTTGCTACCGACCACGGAAGACACATTAAGTGATTGGTGGGTATCTGCTAGGAAACGCACTAACAAGAGATACCAGAGAGGATTCGGCACAATCTGCATTTCAGTCTGTTGGAACCTCTGAAAACAGAGAAATGGCAGGGTATTTCGCAACAGCAACATCGCCAACGAGTGGGAAGCGGCTGATATAATCCATCAGTAAATCATGCTATGGGCATCGGAGAGAGGGAGAGGAGATTAACATGGTATAGAGTAGTAGCCTAGCGTGTGGAGTGGTGGGGTGGATGTGCCTGCCGTGTGTGGGAGTGCATACCGCTTGTATTTCTTATATATAAACCTCTCTCGTCTACAAAGTTAAGGTACGCAATTTGCGTACTCTTGAAAAAAAAACTTCGAGGCAGAGGGAGTATCAACGAGAAAAGGACAAACCATGTCCATCCTGTCAGGACAATATCCATTCGCTCTGCGCTGGGCATCTTAAAACATCAATAATCTTACACCTACGTAAAATTGTTACGTACTCTTATGTAACTTTCTATAATTTAATTCTCTTCCGCCCCTGATTCTTCTGGGTGGGGCCCGGGCCGTTTTCTGTTCCAATTAAACCAGGCCAAGTCAGCCTTCAGGTAGGTTTACGGGGTGTTGTACGTAGGTGTAGCAAAGCCCTTAAAACATACACATGCAAATCCTAAACGAGTATTTAAATCCCGAGTTGATTAGAATGACTGTGCGAATCTATAGTCTAAGTTTGGCATCGATTTCGTCATGGTGGTGGACTTATGGTGTTTGTATCCTTCCTGCGAGCTTCATCCGAACTTTGGACCTCCATGACGAAGCTTCGGAGGTTTCTTTCCGCCGGCCCTCCGGGAGCCATTGCATCCCGCGCCATCCCTTTCCGAGACTCCACTTTTTTCCTGACCTCCACGGCCCTCGCGCCGTCGCCCATGACCAGCTCAACGCACCTCGCCAGCTCCGGCCCGGAGAAGATGCCCTCGCCGTTGCGCTCTCCCCTAACGCCGGCAGCCCACTCCTCCTCTATCAACATCGCGTTCGTCGGCTGGTCGAACATGCTCGGCGCGGCGACGACAGCCACACCCAGTGCCATGGCCTCCAGCGTCGAGTTCCACCCGCAGTGGGTGACGAAGCACCCCACGGACGGGTGCGAGAGGACCTCCGGCTGGTCGCACCACTCCACCACCATGCCCTTCCTCTCCTGCACGACGTCCTCGAGGCAGCGGCTCACGTCCTCCTGCCGCCCGTCCTTGCGCACCACGAGCAGGTACGGCCGTCCGCACCGCCGCAGCCCGTCCGCGATCTCCTCCATCTGCTGCTTGCTGTACGTCCATATGCTGCCGAACGAGACGTACACCACCGACCTCTCCGGCTGCGCCCCGAGCCACTCCATGTACCTCGTCTTGTCGGCACCGGCGTGGTTGAACAGATGGATCCGCGCCTCGGCCGACGACCCGACCACGGGGCCGACGGCGAACACATCCAAGTGCTCCCTCATGGCCGCCAGCGCCGCCGGCTCCAGTTCGTCGAAAGTGTTCACGAGGACCTTGACATTCTGCCTCTGCTCGTCCATGAACTCGAACAGCTCACAGAACACCGCGTTGACGACCTTGCCCACCTCACCTCCGGTGGTGTCGACGAGGAATGACGGGAAGTCGCGGATCCTGAGAGGCCGGCTGAGCCCGGGCAGAGTCACCTCGTACGCGGGGTCGGCGGCGTGGGACGCGATGAGCTCGCCGTAGCCGTGGAAGTAGTGGTAGTAGGTGGCGAGGACGGTTGCCGGCTGTATCCAAAACACGGCCAACGGGATGTCGCGCTCCCGCGCGACGTCCAGTGCCCAGGGGAGCATCATGCTGCACACGATGCACGTAACGGGCCGGCCGCGGGAGGCGAGCCGCGCGACGACCGCAAAGAGGCTCTCGGCGGACGCGCGGCGGCGGCGCGCCCTCTCCTCGGGGCCCCTGGCGGTGGTGCCGTCGTCGACGCCGTCGGAGAAGGCAACGCAAGAGATGGCACCGTCTGCGGCCTCCGGCCCCTCCGGCTCGCCGTTGCCGGACGAAGGGAACATGCGGCGGTGGGTGAAGAGCGGGACCGAGAGCGTGGCGAGGACGGGGCCTGAGCCGTCTGCATCGTGTAGCTGCAGGAGGCGGCGCGCGAGGACGCGGCACGGGTTGAGGTGGCTCTGGATGCCGTAGGCCACGATGAGGAAGTGGGGGCGCCCGCCGTCGCCTGGGCCGTGCTGCTGGCGTTCCGCGTCGGCCATGACAAGGCAAGTCGATCGGGTAGTGTGTGTGTGGCTCTTAAAAGGTTGGGAAAATCGTCGAGCTGATCGTCGAGCTGGAAAGAGTCAGAGTGAGGTGTGACCGTGAGCGTGCTTGGAGACGAAGCTCACCAATCACCACCAGTTCCCTGAGTTCCTTGACTGGGTCAACAATTGTGAGGTCAGCACTGACGGTACGCTGGCTGACAAGTCCGAGCACTCGATCTAGCAGGAGAAGGCGAAGTGGAAAATTGAGCGGACCGGCACCTACCGAGCCAACCAGCAAGTCACACCTCACAACGTATACTTATTTATGTTTTTGTATAAGGAACGTTTCCCTTGTTTAAGAAATATAAGATTTCAGCAGCTGGCCCACCACTATGTAACTTTACATGCAGGAGCACCACCGTAATGTAACCCTAATATGGCAGACCCATTCTCTCTTCTCTCAGACAGTAAATCTAACATTTTCTTTCCACTTGACTAATTTAAAATATTCATATCTTTTAAAATCATACGTTTATTTTTGATTTTTTTTATATTTGAACTTCTTGCACCAAAACCTTTAAATGAGACTAATATTTGATATTTTTCAACCATGTTTAAATTGGAACATATATTCCACATTTTGAAATAATCAGTTTCACACTGATACATTACAATTTCACTTTCTATAGTTACTATTTCACAATCTTAAAACCTACATTTTCACTTTTCACTTAACTTGTTTCACAACCATGGGAGGAGGTTTGCAAACCCGAGTCATGGTGGTTTAAGGGTATTGGACATCTCTACCCATAACCAAGGCCTACTTATGAAACACCTCCACAAATTCCTCAACACATAAGATATTCCTTGGGTACACAAGATTTGGGAAGCTTACCATTTCAACAACCTACCTGGGGACAGAATGGTGGGATCATTTTGATGGAAATCAATTCTCAAGTTACTTCCCACCTACAAGCAATTGGTTGTGTGCTAGTCTCGTAGGGGAGATACAATATTATTCTTGTCTGATGAATGGAGTGATCGGCCCAATCTTGTTTGTTGTGAATTGAGATAATATCGTCTGTATTAAATTGTAATAACACAGCATGTTAACGTGTGATTTCTCTCCTTAGACCATGAGAGTATCATGGTCACTTCTTACCGTACAATGGGTTTTGGGATTGCTCAAACATCACATGTAACACGGTGATCATAACGACAACTTACAGGTTCATCAGAAAGTTTGACAAGTGGTCGGATAGCTCGAGAGTGGGATTTGCTCCTCCGACGATGGAGAGATATTTTTATGGCCCTCTCGGTGTGACGGCATCAATCATTGTCTGGCCAAACACAGGTGACTTCCTCACAGGGATGCCGGAACACAATAACGAGAAAGAAGAACAAAATCGTTAACGAGGATTCCTATAGTGAGCATGGTGATAACTCAGCAGGATACCGATACATCCCTGGTTTGTGAAGTATCACGAAGCAAAGGGAACATCACATGATAACCAAACGTTCACTCGAATATCATTCGAGTACGCATAGGGAACGATATGGACGTCCAAGGTCCCGCTCTCGGTCATTGAACGGACGGTTTTGTTCATGTCTGTGAGTTACCAAACCAGCGGGGTCACAAGCTTAAGGCAATCACGGTCTGTTGAGTATTAGTAGCATAGGAGTCACGAGAATATATTTGTGAAATTATTTCATGAATATTCAGAACAGTTCCCAGAGGATCTGGAAGCGTTTCGGGTCACCAGAAGGGTTTCGATGAATATCGGGTAATACCGGGTATTGATACATCAATTTTGCATCATGTTTTCCTACTGTTATTTATAATGTTTTTATGCATAATAATGCTTTATGGAGTAATTCTAATGCCTTTTCTCTCATAATATGCAAGGTTTACACAAAGATGGAGAATGCCGGCAGCTGGAATTCTGGACCTGAAAACGCTACGCAGGAGTTACCTATTCTACACATCCCCAAATGAGCTGAAAATTTACGGAGAGTTGTTTTCTAATATACGAAGAATATTGGAGCAAATAAGTACCAGAGGGGGCCCACCAGGTGGGCACAACCCACCAGGACGCGCCAGGGAGCCCAGGCGCGCCCTGGTGGGTTGTGCCCTCCTCGGCCCACCTACGGTGCCCCTCTTTTGGTATATAAGTCATTTTGACCGAGAAAAAATAAGGGGATGGCTTTCTGGATGAAGCGCCGCCATCTCGAGGCGGAACTTGGGCAGGAGCATTTTTGCCCTCCGGCGGAGCGATTCCGCTGGGGGGGACTTCCCTCCCAGAGGGGGAAATCATCGTCATTGTCATCACCAACAACTCTCCCATCTTTGGGAGGGCTATCTCCGTCAACATCTTCAGCAACACAATCTCCTCTCAAACCCTAGTTCATCTCTTGTGTTCAATCTTTGTACCGGAACCTTAGATTGGTACTTGTGGGTGACTAGTAGTGTCGATTACATCTTGTAATTGATCACTATATGGTTTATTTGGTGGAAGATTATATGTTCACATCCATTATGCTATTTAATACCCCTCTGATCTTGAGCATGATTATTATTTGTGAGTAGTTACTTTTGTTCTTGATGTCACGGGAGAAGTCATGTTGCAAGTAATCATGTGAACTTGATATGTGTTCGATATTTTAATGATATGTATGCTGTGATTCCCTTAGTAGTGTCATGCGAACGTCGACTACATGGCACTTCACCATATTTGGGACTAAGGGAATGCATTGTGGAGTAGTTATTAGATGATGGGTTGCTACAGTGATAGAAGCTTAAACCCTAGTTTATGCGCTACTTCGTAAGGTACCGAATTGGATCCAAAAGTTTAATGCTATGGTTAGATTTTATCTTAATACTTTTCTCGTAGTTGTAGATTCTTGCGAGGGGTTTAATCATAAGTAGGAGTTTTGTTCAAATAAGAACAACACCTAAGCACCGGTCCACCCACATATCAAATTATCAAAGTAGCGAACACAAATCAAACCAAAATGATGAAACTGATGTGATGAGATTCTCGTGTACCCTTAAGAACTCTTTGCTTATTATAAGAGACTGTTTTGGCTTGTCATTTGCCACAAAAGGATTGGGCTACCTTGCTGCACTTTATTTACCGTTACCGTTACTTGCTCGTTACAAATTATCTTCCTATCAAACTACCTTTTACCGACTATTTCAGTGCTTGCAGATAATACCTTGCTGAAAACCACTTGTCATTTCCTTCTGCTCCTCATTGGGTTCGAAAATCTTACTTATCGAAAGGACTACGATTAATCCCCTATACTTATGGGTCATCAAGGCTCTTTTCTAGTGCCGTTGCCAGGGAGTGAAGCGCTCTTGGTAAGTAAAAATTGGTAAGGAAAAATTATTACTACGTGCTGAAATTTATTGTTACTAGTTTCTATGGAGAAGCATCCTTTGAGGGGTTTGTTCGGGGTATCTTCACCTCGACCGGAACCACAATTAGTTGCCCCTCAACTTACTGCACCTACTGAAAAATATTGGTTATGAATTCTTGAAGAAAATATGCCCTAGAGGCAATAATAAAGTTGTTATTTTATATTTCCTTATATCATGATAAATGTTTATTATTCATGCTAGAATTGTATTAACCGGAAACTTGATACACGTGTGGATACATAGACAAAACACAGTGTCCCTAGTAAGCCTCTACTAGACTAGCTCGTTAATCAAAGATGGTTATGTTTCCTAACCATAGACATGTGTTGTCATTTGATGAACGGGATCACATCATTAGGAGAATGATGTGATGGACAAGACCCATGTGTTAGCTTAGCATGTTGATCGTTCAGTTTTATTGCTATTGCTTTCTTCATGTCAAATACATATTCCTTCGACTATGAGATTATGCAACTCCTGGATACCGGAGGAATACCTTGTGTGCTATCAAACGTCACAACGTAACTGGGTGATTATAAAGATGCTCTACGGGTATCTCCGAAGGTGTTTGTTGGGTTGGCATAGATCGAGATTAGGATTTGTCACTCCGAGTATCGGAGAGGTATCTCTGGGCCCTCTCGGTAATGCACATCATAATAAGCCTTGCAAGCAATGTGACTAATGAGTTAGTTGTGGGATGATGCATTACGGAATGAGTAAAGAGACTTGGTGGTAACGAGATGGAACTAGGTATGAAGATACCGATGATCGAATCTCGGGCAAGTAACATACCGATGACAAAGGGAATAATGTACGTTGTCATTACAGTATGACCGATAAAGATCTTCGTAGAATATGTGGGAACCAATATGAGCATCCTAGTTCCGCTGTTGGTTATTGACCGGAGAGGTGTCTCGGTCATGTCTACATAGTTCTCGAACCCGTAGGGTCCGCACGCTTAACGTTCGATGATGATTTTGTATTATATGGGTTATGTGATTTGGTGACCGAATGTTGTTCAGAGTCCCGGATGAGATCACGGAGATGATGAGGAGTCTCGAAATGGTAGAGAGGTAAAGATTGATGTATTGGACGATGGTATTCGGTCACCAGAATGGTTTCGGAGTGGTTCGGGTATTTTTTGGAGTACCGGGAGGTTACTGGAACCCCCCTCGGGGGAAGTAATGGGCCAACATGGGCCATAGGGGAGAGAGAGGGAAGCCCACAAGGGGAGGCGCACCCCCATGGGTTGTCCTAATTGGACAAGGGGAAGGGGCGCGGCTCCCCTTTCCCTGTCTGGAAGAAAGGAAGGGTGGCCGACTTGGACTAGGAGTCCTAGTCAGTCCTCCCCTTATGGTGTGCCCCTTGGCCGGCCTCCTCCCTCTCCTCCTTTTTATACGGGGGTAGGGGGCACCCCACATAAGCAACAATTGTTTCTTAGCCGTCTGCGGTGCCCCCTCCACAGTTTACTCCTCCATACATATTGTCGTAGTGCTTAGGCGAAGCCCTGCGCGGATCACATCACCATCACCGTCACCACGCTGTCGTGCTGGCGAAACTCTCCCTCAACACTTTGCTAGAGCAAGAGTTCGAG